TACTGCTACTACTACTACTACTACTACTACTACTCCCATTCTATACTAGAGTTTAGGATTTAGGGTTTAGGGATTAGGGTTTAGGATTTAGGATCTAGGGTTTAGGGATTAGGATTTAGGATTTGGGGTTTAGGGATTAGGGTTTAGGGCTTGGGGTCTGGGTGCAAGGATTACTGTTGCGCTGCAAGTCTAGAAATGCCTACAGAGGGTGCTGACGTCTATGAATACGTATGTTGGGCCTCAAATCTATAAACAGTACCTACACTGTGCCCTGAAGCCGAAAAAGCTTATATTGGGTCCCAAGTTCCAAACCTCAAGCCGCGTGGCTTGGGAGGCGGGAGATCTTGCTGGCGGGGGTTGCGGTTGCTCGAAAGGTCTCATGGGGGACGTAGTAGCAAGGCAAATACTAGGGATAACTGAGGCGGGGCAGGATATAGCTTATACTAGGTTTTAGGGTTTAGGCTTTAGGGTTTAGGGTACTATGTAAGTCCCACTGATCTCGAAATGGGACTGGTCCTCAAGCCTCAGAAATTTGGGCTATAGATCTCCCTCAAACTTCGGAAGGGCAGGCCCCAACCCCTGAACCCTAAACCCTAGACTCTAAACCCTTAACCTTAAACCTTGAACCCTAAGCGCCGAACCCTAAACCCTACACCCTCCTAACGCGCGCACATAACGCGAGTTTTGGGTAGCGGGGCTCAGCGGCTTCTTGACAGCTGCAGTTTGGGAGGGTGCCCTCCGTGCCCAAAACCCCGTACTTAGAACCCGAAGACACCACATCTTCAATCCTGAACCTCAAGCAAGGACAAAATAAAATGGACAGGGCAGTTTCGGCCCCAACTTCGAAGTAAGCTCCATATGGTAGTTTCCCAAATTCAGGGGACCCCCATATAGCCCCCAATATATTATAATCCTTGTTAGGGAACCCCAAAAAAGGGTACCCCTAACTTTGGGAAATTCCCATATTACAGCAGGGCCAAGGGTTTTGGGTTTTTGGGTTCTCGTCCCCAAAGTCAGAGTAAACTCCAAACCACAAGTAGGGTTTAGGGTTTACCTAAGCCCCAAAAGTATGTAAGATAATGGCCCTAAACCTCCCAAAATAGCCATAGAGGCCATTATTTTACATACTTTTAGGGTCCAGGTAGGGTTCAGGTTTAGGGTGGGGCTATTCTAAAACCGCGAGACGTGTCAATCCAAAGGCTCGGAGCTCAACTTGGACGAGCGATACTTGTCGGCACGTGGCTTGTGATTTGGGGGTTTCCCAAAATTAGGGGTACCCTTTTGGGGGTCCCAATAATAAGGACTACAGTATTTTAGGGTCTATATTGGGGTACCCCTATTTAGGGAAACTACCATTTGAGCCATAATCTACGCTCCTTTTCAGGGCAGCTGTGCAGAGTTTTGGGTTTAGGGTCTGAACTCCTTACCAGGGGGTATATAGGACGTATAGGGTTTTGGGTCTAAAATCCTGAAAGGGGATTATATATGAGATTATTCCAGCGAGGTTACTAAGGAGGATATTAGGAGTTTAGACTATAGCTCGGTTGGAGATGGGTTGTTGCCATGGGCCATTGGCCTCTCAGTGGCCGGAGGCGTCCATTCGGTGAGCACATGACTTGAGAGAGATTTGGTAATTTCCCAAAATAGGGTGACCCCAATATAGACCCCCCAAATCCTATCATCCTTATGATGGGTATCCGAATCCCCAAAAGGTTACCCCTAATTTTGGGAAATCCCCCATTTCTATTGTAGCACCTTTCAGATCTTGATAGGTAGGCAGCGCTAGCAGTGTGGATGCACCACAGGCTGAACTACATGGAAGTGTCTCACTCAACCCTAAACAACCCTAAACCCTATGCCGCAGAAGCCAGGAAATCTTTTCTCCGTTGCGTACAAGCACGCAGTGGGCGCAAGCCTCCCGGCAGGGATTTAGCCTAAAGGTCAGGCCGGTGTATGCCCCAAGGCTGTATGGTTTAGGGTTTAGGGTCTAAACTCCTTAAAGGGTCTAGCTGTCATGTCCAACCCACCCATCTCGAACGAGACAGGGCATGAGGCTTTTTCCGGCCGGCCACCAGCCAGTAGCGTTGGGCTGGGCCTTTTCTGATGCTTCCGCCTCCCATAGTGGACGCACCTTCAGATGTTGCCTCATTCCTTCAGCAAATTTGGAGAATGAGCCAGTAGTGCTCATGATCGTGGTGCTTGAGTCCGCGTTTTGGCGCTTAAAGGGGATTGTATAGCGGAGTAGCATGAGGGTTATTAAGGGGGATGCTAGGAGTTTAGATGATAGGACGTAGAGAGATTCTAAGAGGATTGCAGGGGTCTCTGGACAGGATTATTTTGAGAAACTAGCTTTTTTCTCCACGCAGAGGGATTTGTGCCGCGCGGGGCCTGTCTAATGCTTTGGAATGATGGCTATTTGGTGCATAGGTTCATTGTTGGCTTCCTTCTGCATTCCTGTTGCATCTGTATTTCCAGCATCTCAGGCGGTTGGGGGGATCCCTGGTCAGTTGAGACTGACCTAAAACTCAAACGCGGATAGTTGCGCAGCAAAAAAACCTAAACCCTAAACCCCAAACCCTAAATAGTAGCTTCGATTTTCTTTTCCATTATCCCTATATCACCCAAAATACCGTTGAAACGGCCTCTATCCGGGGGCATATCTTAGGCTTTGCCTGCACGCCATACATGTTCATCCTGCCGCATCCTTCAAGTCCCTAAGGGTCCAAGTACCTAATAATCAGATACTTTACCCAAATCCAATACCATAATATCACTATTACCCAAATCCCAAGTACCCAATTATTGGGTACATGGACCCTTAGGGATTCTAAGCAAACTCAAACCTCGACGCAATGAAGCAGGGGTTTGCCTGAGTGTGGAGTGCTCGAAGAGAATTGCAGAAAGGACATAGGGATCAAATAATGGCAAAACACCTCCCATATGAGCTCTAGTCTAAATTCCTTAAAGGTGGTTATTTTGGTGTTTATATAGGAGACTATTATAGGTATTATTAAGGGGGATACTAGGAGTTTAGACTACAGCTCATATGCCGCCACAGCAGGTAAAACTCCACATGTCAGTCCATGAGGCCTCAATCGTGGATAGGGGCCTAGCAAGGATCCTTCATGGAAATCTGATTTTTCCGTGTGAATGCGATCACTATTGCTATCAATGTGGGAGAACAGGGATGAGACTGTTCTAGAAGTGTACAGGTGGATGTTGAAAGAATCCAGACCGTACTGCTTAGTCTTCCATCCCCGAACCCCAAATCCTCAACCCTGAGTTTTATGTTTAGCGAATTGAGTTGTTCCGAACCTTGACGCCTCTCTCCTAAACCCTCTTTGTAGCGAGTTCCCCCCCCCCTCCCCTCACTTTTTTGAAACTTCAATCCTGCTGTCCTCGATTTCCCGGACCTTAGAAACTAAACATGAATTACCGTAGTCCTTGCAGGCTGCAATTTTGGGCTCCTGGACTCCTTAAACTCCATGTTTGAATCCAAAGTTGCGTCAAGCAGGAATTACACCAAGCCAAACAACACCACGCTGCACGAAACGGGCATGACCCCAAGCACTGCACTCTGCGAAAAAGGAAACCTTGAAGCTTCCCAAGCTTTCTATCGCTATGACTATTCTACTTCTATGAATTTAAATTGCTTTTGTTGTTTTACCCATGCTGCTGCTGCTGCTACTACTACTACTACTACTACTGCTACTACTGCTGCTCCTGCTCCCCTACTAGTCCTGCTCCTCCTCCCCTCCTGCTCTGGCGGATTCCGGCAGCTGCTGCCAAGATTTCTTCTGCTCAGCTGTTGCAGCTTCGTGAGCGCCTCCAGCAAATTTTAGTTCACGTGCTTGTTTGCCCGCTCAGGCCGCTGGTGCAAAGATGAAAGCTGCAGAGATGGCATCACGCTTTGAGCGTGGAAACACCACGTTGTAGTAAGCCTCGGCTTTTAGGGCCGGACAGTTCCCGAGCTTTGATTGCCAGCACGTTCTAAGTTTGAGCTGGCAAAGCTGATTGCAATGCGAGTTTGAAAGCTGCCACAAGCTGATTGTGGCACACTGTGCGGAGCTCCGAATACGGATCCTTTCCAATCATGCAATTGCTGAACACGGACGTGAGTTGACAGTTTCTTTTTAAGACCCGAGCCCTCCTCGCGAATCTCTTGGAACCTGGGGTTGTTGAAGATCTTGATGCACGGACACAGACCAGCTAACCACAGGTAGGCGGCTTTTGCACCCCAGGATTATTTGGAGGTGCCGGGCTCCCAAAGGCTTGGCAGTCACGTGCCCATGCCTCATCCTTTCCCAATGTGGGCGCAGCTCCGAAGCCTGCTGTTCATGCTTCCTGACCATGGCTGACTGGTCAAACCACAGCCAGTGAGGGAGCTGCGCTCACTTCACTTGGCCAAGTGGCGGAGAGCTGTGCATCTCAAACCTATGCTGTCATGAAAGCATGCAAGTCCAATCTCCAGCTTCAACTGCCAACTACGGCATTGAACATTTGAACCTCAACGGGTCAGACAGATTGCGACATATCCTCTGCCTGAACATTGCTGCATACAAAGTTCAGAGCACCATTTGGCACCTTTGATTCGCAGGCTGCGGTTTCTGCTGCCTTGCCATCATGTGAGGAATGTCGCTACTGTACGTTGTCGAGGCTTTCCCAACAGCAGTTCCTTTTGAGAGCCAAACTGGTGCACTGCCAAGTCCGTTGCTGCAACGTGACTCTCGATTCGCTTGACATGCTTGACGCTGGTTCGGCGTCCTGACGCGCAGGTTTGCTGTGAAGCTGTGCTGATTGTGCTGCCATTGAGACTTACCTTGCAGGACAAGAACCTCGAGGCCTCCAAGGAAGAGGCGTCGCAAAGGCAGGACTGAATCGCTTAAGGACCTTCGAGAAGCTCTGGCTTGAGGTAACATGTCAGATTCGTGGCTGCTTGCTTCTGTCTGACATCTGAGTTCGGTGTTTGAAGACATGGCCCTGGCTCACTGCGGGTTTGCGGCCAGGTTTCGTGAAGTCGCGGAGGCTTACGCTGCGCTGAATCAGTACTTAGGAGGCGGATGAGTGCCCTGAAGCGCGGAAGACCTTGAAATACATTGAGGGCCACAAGTCGGGCGCGCTCAAACCTAAGCTGTCAAATGGGGCATGTTTTGTGTGTAGCGGAAAAATGCCGAGAACCGCAGCCGACCTGGCATGAAAATGAAGACAGATGCACAGATGTACCAGGGGATCCGGCAGGGGAGGTTTACCAGTGTTCTACATTGCCACCACCTCAGTGGAGATTTTTTTTAGTTTTCGTGGCGCGCTGCGTGGCTTTTCAGGAAAGTTAGAGCAAGTATGTAACATGCGCACTGCACTCACCCGCAGACTCTGGCTTTGCTTGTACAAATGGGCGGCACGCTGGGATCCCTGATCTTATTGATCGCAATGCGAACTGTAACTAAAGATCTCAGCATACACAATATCAGGGCATCATCTCCTAACGCGCCAGCTTCAGTTGTTGAGATTTGCGCGCATGTCTTCACTTCGTCGTCCGCAGTAGCAGTTCGCATCTTATAAGCAGCATCAAATGTGACAGCAATCAAGCAGCAGGAGAAGAGGACGCAGTAGCAGGAGTAGAGGTAGGAGGTTGTGATGTGTCGCTGTTGATGGTTTTGTTGTTATGGAGGAAGCAGTAATTAGCGGTCGTCATCATCGAGTGGCCGGGTTCGGTAGCGTCGCAGTAGCGGTAGGGGCAACGGAGAAGGTGTGGTGATGGTAGCATGAGTACTACTCGCTGCTGTTGTAGGTCCAGCTGCAGCGCTACCATGACCTGTGGAAACAAAGAACCTCCTGCAGAGTTTGATGGGAACGTCGATTCCAATCCTGAGATCCCAGCATTAACCTGCGGCATGTGTGTCTTCCAGACAATTATTATGAATGACGCATGCCAGCTCCCGCGAAGTGAGCGAAAAGTGGTGTGACTTGTCAGCTTCAGATTGCCGAAGCCGGCCAACAACTCTTGTCCCGTAGGACGGCGTAGGATGCCCTCATCACTCGTGGCTCTGCAATTTCTGTGTGCACTGAGTGACGGACTGTCACAGCTGGAGCAGACGAAAGGGGTCTTAGTCGTGTGCGCTTTGGTTGATGCTTCGCCTTTTGCACATATCCGCTGCTCGGCCGCCCAGGTTTTGTCCGGAGCTGCCCTCGTCCATCGACGAGTGTTCGCATACGCCGGGACCTACTTACTTTTGGACTTCCTGTCGGAGAGTCTGAGTGTGTTCGAACAGGAACAGCACTTGCATTCTGCAGCCCTTGTCGGCCAGTCTTTCCGCTTGGTAGTACGAAGTCTGGCGGTGGCTTGTTGGTTCGGTTTGGGAAAGTCAAAGTCGCTTTCAGCAGTTGGAAGGGCATCCGCAAGGGCACTTAAAGAACAAGCAGTTCATTCCATACCTCCTCAAGCAAAATGAGAACGAGCTCGCCATGGCATCAGTGCTGCTGCGGCAGTTTTCGAGGCTTCGCATCGCTTCGCGGTCGCGTTCCTTCTTGGTGCCGGCAAAATCAGACCCCAACCAGAATTGCACTGAGAGGCCTGGCCTTCGCTGGCTCGCAGTTGCTGCGCCTAAGCTTAAACTGTGGAGACCTGCAGGACCCAAGAGATTTGACTTCTGTGACTGGACGTTGCAAAAAGCAAAATGCAGTCCTTGCAAGCCACGGTTCCAAGGTTGCTGCACTTCTTGTACTGGCTTGGGAACGCAGACGCAGGCTGCGTTCTCTGTTTTGCTGAGAGTTGCCTTCAGGGGAGTTTTCCAGAGCCTGCAGTCTATCCGCCACCAGGCTCAAGCGAGCTCTGACCACACTTTCAATCCGCCTGGCCTCAGCCTACGCTAGGAAGGCTGTGCTGGATGCCGCGCAGAACTTGTGACTTGCTTGTCTGTGTACTGTTTCGTCCTCTCTGTGTTGTGGTCATCGACCACTGTCAAATCCGGACAGCCCCGCCTGCCTTTGTTTATGGCAATGAGGCGACTTCGGGTTGGGGATGACGCTTCATGCGAGTGGCCCGACTCAAGTCAAGTCACGCTAGTGACGCCAGCGTTCTTATAGCGAAATCTCGGAGCGCATGCTTTGAAGAATGATCGCTTCATTTGATGGCCCCCTGAACGTAGCTTGTCGTCAGCTCCAGCACTTGGCCAGTAGCCTTGCCGCGACCAGTGAAGAGCTTTTAGTGAAGTTTTTAAGTGAACATCTGCCTCCACATGGCAGTTGCTTTGAATTTTCGATCCTGGTAGAGTTGATTGTCCCACTATATTGCCTTTTTTCCTTCTGAAGTAAGGGAGCATTTCTCGCCCTATCTTCACAAGGTGGGCCGACTTTGCCGACACTGACTGGGACGCCTTCTTGAGTCAAGAGACGTCCCTGCAACTCGAACTCCAGTGCAGCAGACTTTGGCTTTTGCGCACCCCATGCTTTGAGATGAGAATTCCGGACTAATGAATTGTTGCGCTTCCTGCCGCCGGTGCAAGGCGACGTGCATCGAGCACCAAAGCTGCAAGAAGAGATCACCTTTGCATGAGAAGAGTGAAGTCAGCCAGTTGTGCAAGACAAGTAGAAGATCTGGACAGTTTTGGATATTCAAATGACAAGGAGCTGCCTGTCTGAGGCCTCTATGTGCGAACTTCTTTGGTCCGCAAGGGCATGTTGGCACACTATCTTGCCAAACGACGATGCTCATCTGGTGCAAGAAAGCAGTGTTTTTCTGCCAGCAAACAGACGCGTCCTAGGGGAAGGGGTTACTTGCTGCAGGACAGTCGCGTCTATTTGCAGGTGAGGAAGTTCCGGACAAGATCATGCATTGAATTTTTCAGAGACCTACATTTGTTTACTCAAAACAGCTTTTGGCTTGCGTTTCAGCAAAGACCGCTGCTTTGATCATTTTGTCTTGTGTCAAGGATCTGCCGGGGTACTGCCCAACACATTCGTGGCGGATGTGGAGGATGAGGAGGAGAAATGCGCTTGCATGTGGTGACGCCCACACGCAACATGGCAGCTCGGAGCGAACCGCGTCACTGAATCCTGGCCAAGTGTTATCCCAGTGCCAAGATGTTTGGGGGTTCGCAACTTTTGCGCCCGGAAGGACTTGCAGATGCTGGCAAAACGATTTCAGAAATGGGCTACCGCGCAGGCAATTTGTGAGAATGGGAATCTGGGCCGCGAAAAGGAAGAACGACACCGCAGGTGAGCTTGCTTATGCAGGCCCAGGTTGTTCACATCTGCATTAATATGTGCTAATAGGCTAGCTACGCATGGTTGTATGAGCCAAGGATTCTTGCCGTCAAGGCGGGCAACGCAAATCGTGGAGAGCACCTGCACCTAGTCACCAACCCGGAGGCAACACGACTTGTGATATCGCTGCTGTTTCTTCTATCTTGCCTATCCTGGTGGGCCTAGGGGACCCGCCGAGTTTTGCTGCACATCGATGTCTCGCGAGGAGATTGCAGAGAAGATCCGCCCAGCGGTGTTCCAGGCCGGGGACCCGAAGTCTTGTTTCTGAGCATGGGGAGGCAAAGTCATGCTTCTTTGTGCACCAGGTTTGATGCCATACCCTGTCCCATGTAGGGTGTGGTCGAATGGGTGATTCAGCCCTATGTCACACCGCCGCTTCTGCACAGAAGAAGGAAGTTCCACCTGCGACTTAGCTTAGTTTAGCTGATGATGGTGATGATCATGATTATCATGGCCAGGCTGCCGGGAAAGTTTTGCAGGTATCAACGGCGATTGGCCCATGCAGTTCTCAGGCGCGTGCACTTCCTGCTGATTGGTTGCCCGCGATGTGGCTTCAGCCGAGCCTGGTTGCATGACGCCTATATGCAATTTGCTTTGCAGTCAGGCTGTCCGCATTCTGCGTATGCTGAACAATGCTAAACCTCCCCTCAACAGAACAGCTTCGCAGCAGGAGGAACTTCATGTTGTCCTTGCGGCATCCAGACCATGGACCGCACCTGGGCGACTGGAAGTGCTGTGTTTGTGATGTTTTCAGCTTGAGCTAGGGATGTGCTCTCACTCTGTGCCTTGTTACGTCAACTCTCTCGCCTTCGTGTTGAGGATGATCCCAAAGAGGTCGCGGCGCACTTGACGAACCACTGCATTCAGGCAAGGTTATGCGATTGGTGGGTTGTCAGAGACACGGTTGAAGCTTCAGTGAGGTGTTGCGCTCTCTGCAGGTGTTGCGCTCTCTTAAATCCTGGCATTGTTCTTTTCAATGGCACAGGCCTCCCAGCCGGATTACAAAGAGTCCGAGCAGATCCTTTTATGGCGCGAGTTGGCCGAGGAGTGCAGGATGCATGTCAGGTTCCAGACCATGCGCGCCAAACCTTGACCTTGCGCACTTGGAAGTTGCATGTGCAGCCTTTGATCTCCGGCTTGTGCAAGCCCAAATTTGCCATTTACACCTTGATGTGATTGCCTGATGCTGGGCATCGGTAATGTGCAGGAGGCTGGCCTGGATTCCGAGGCGAGCGTCTGGGGATTCAGGATTGGCTCAGGTGATGCAGTCAAGGTGGTTACGGCGTAGAGCAATCCCATGCTGAGACTTCTGGCCTTGAACATGTCCACAGGTGTTGTTGCCCTCACCGTAGGGGATTGGGTGTCTCCATACCCGCCTCCAACTTCGTGGGTCAGTGTAGAGCGAGTCACGCAAACCAGTGGTAGATTTCTTTTTGCCAAGATGTCTCTTGCATTGCGCGTTCTGCTGTTGGACATGCAGCAGGCTGTTCTCCAGCAGATTGAGATTGCTCTGGGCCAGTCTTTGGAGGCAGCAGCTGCTTCGCCAGGTTGGGGCCAAATAATCCTGGTGTAGCTGTCATAGTCATTCATTACCCTTAAAGCACTTTTCCACTTCCATGGCATCTCCCTCCTTTGCCTTCAGGCTTCACACCTCTGCCACAGTCCTTCGAGCTTTTTGGCGCAGAGACTTTGCCAATCTTTTAGGTTTCATGGCTGCGTCAAAGGCTCTGGGCTTGGCTGAAGGCATGGCTCAAGACACAGCCGTTCCAACTTTGCGACGATTTGTTTGTAACAAGTTGAAGTTTTTCATGTTTTTCGGCACGAGCCCAGAGCTTCCGGATTGAAAGCAGCTGCTGCTCTTGCAAGCGAAGTCTGTAAGACCATTCGCCACTTGCAGTGATTGCACTGTGAACTTGTTCTCATAATGATGCATAGTTCAGTCAAGCCACTTTTTCGATGTTGCGTCATGTTGCTTTCGCAGAGAAGGCGTCAGTAAGCTTATGAATATGGAATCGGGCCCGCATGAACCAGGCTGATGGTATTCCGGACACCGTTCCTGATGTGGTTATGTGTGTCTGAAGCAGTTCTGCTATTGCGTCCAAGGACTTTGTTTTCGAAGATCGCGGTCCTGCAGCTCCAAAGGCATGGCTTCTCGAGGTGAATGCAGGCCTGTGTCTAGCGTCTCCTGCGGTGTGGAGGGGAATGGGGTAATGAACACGAGGTCCAGACTTGGCAGTGTTTGGCGCTGCACGACGGGCTGAGGCAGTGCGTCTCGCTGAGGTGGCACCAGTTCTTGCGCATGCTTTCAGTGCCACGCCAAAACCAGACTATCATTGTTTCCGTGCGTCGACTTCTAGACACTTTCTTGTCAGGATGTGCTTCGTGCTGCGGTGCTTCCGTTTGAAGCAAATTTAAAGGCTGGAGATGAGCCCGCGTCATACAATCACCTTTTGACCCCAATCCCTGATCAGGACGCACCCTACCTTGGCCATCAAGAATGCTCGTGCAGAGACAAGATAGGCAATGCACGATTTCCATCAAAAGCTGTGCAGAGGGGGAATGATCACAATGCTTGCGGTAGGATCCACGGGCTTCTCGCGCGAGTTCTGGGCTTCTGCGCCTCAGACAGCATCTCCGCAGGCAAGTGCTTTGCTAAACGTTCTTCCGTCAGCCTTGCAAGTTGCTGCCTGTTTTGGAATGACTGCGAGGCTGAACTACGCCGCGTGGCGCGGCGCCTGGGTACAGCTGCGAACTGGGCCAAGGCAGTGACGTCAGTGAAGCATTGAAATTGGTAGGCTCATGGGCTTTGCATCATCATCATCATCATCATCATCACCAGATGAGTTTGTGTTTGCTATCTCAGCGCAGAAGAACGCATCTTGACAAAAAATCCATGTTGCTGCAGCAGTGGCATGATCTTGAGAGCCAGGCCCTGCACAGCCATAGCCAAGTCCAAGTTCGAGGCCCGCAGGCTGCAAACTTGGCGACGGCGTCCGAATCTAAAAAAGCTGTGCGCGTGCCTCCGAAGCTTTTCCTGAAGCTGCAGCACGTCCAAAAATGGAGACCTGCTTTCACTTCACACGCCCGACCGAGGGCGAGTACCAATTCGAAACAGAAGGCAGCAGTCTCTCGCTCAGTGAGAAGATGTTCCAGTGTTTTGGCATAAGCTGTTGTCGTTTTGTTGATGGTGCATTGCAATCGCATTAGCAGGAGGTTGTTGCAAGTTGTCCACACATCCCTCGTAGCTTAGAAGCCAGAGCAACTTGAACAACTTGAGGTCAGCGTCTGACAGGTGCCATGGTGAAGGCAGACCGGCATCGTTTGTAAGTGTGCTCAGCTGTCATCTTGACACTCGAGGCAGGGTTACATAGGTTAGAGCTCGCTGAGCTTCTGTTTTGGTCGAGTCAGCAACACGTCGTCAGCGCAAGTTGCCGCAGTTCAATGTGTGTCGTGAAGACCACCTGCTATAGGCATTTGTCTCTACGGAACAGCCCTCTGGCCATTGCAACATGTATAACAAAGCATGGACAATGGAGACTTTTGTACCCACTGGCGATCATCCAAACTTGCAAGTCTGCAAGCAGCTGAAAGCAGATGGCAATACCGCAGGCCAAGCTTAGGGCAAGATCCGTTGCGGTGATGTCGCATGAGTTGCCTGGGCCGCAATGATTCCTATGATCCCGAGCGGGCGAGTGGTTAGAGGAAACCTCGTGCCAACTACGCCGCCTTCCCAACCGTCCCCACTTTCTGGCTCCTTGGCAGGTCTGTCCCTGATGAAGGAGGGATGGCATAATTGGCAACACTTCACCATACCTTCCCCATACTGTACATGATCAAGAGGTGGCTCATGTTGGGCTGACTGAGGACAGTCTCATCTCCAGCACCTTCGCCAGCTCAGCACGCCCAAATTCAGGCAGTGCACTTGTGAAGTTGGGGTCTACGGCGGTGTGCAGCAGTCAAGTCACGCAGAGCCTGCAAAGAATCCAATAACATGAAGCAGCCCTTTGACCTCGTCTCAACACCACTGGTCCAGACCAGATCAGGGCCACAAATTGCTTTTGCTTTTTTTTTGCTAATCCAGTATGAGTATGAGTGCCAGATGGTCCATAAGTCCCGGCGTTGTCCAGGGTTATTGCAAGAGATTAGTGAAGTGTCCGTCAGAGCCCTGGGCCTCTGTGAAAGGCTCTTTCAAAGATGTACCTTACCCAGGAGCCTCTTAGCCACTGCTATCAAGGAGTGCACGGATTTCGCAAATTTGTGAAGTGAGTTGCGGAGGCGGCAGATCAGCAGCGGAGACGTGGTGCAGCTCTTTGCCAGCACCTTCTACAGCTCGGAGAAGGTGACGCTGCTGTCCCGTGCACGGGTGGATACGCGGGGGTCAAAGGATGAAAGCTGCTGCGTTGCCAGGAGAATGCCATTATCCGAGTGGCACGTATCGGTACGCTTCATGGCTCATGCTCCGTCCAGTGGAGGACGGAGGACAACTCCGCTCATGCCGGCCAGAAGCACCTGGGTCTGACCTGACTTGCCTGCATTAAGATGAACAATTGTGAGATAAGCTCTCGATAGAGCAAGATGTAGCTGGTGTGACCATTGCCATGGTGCCCCTTTTGCCCCTGGTTTTAGTGTTGCGACGGGCGGAGGGTGTTCCTCTCAAACTAATTTGCTGCGTAGCTCGAACCCTCCTTCAGACAGCCCCAAGTTTCCTTCAGACAGCTGATCGACTTTGATATGCTGGGGGCCGCTGCATAGTTTGGGGAGTGCACGGCATTGGTTGTCACATGTGCGCAAGTTACCACATTGACTTGGAATGGCTGCAACTTCCAAGGTACCATGGTGCAACTGGTACGATTGAGTTCGGACCTGGCGAGTCAATTCGAATCTTCGAGGTTGAGCTAATTGACGACGACGACTTTGATTCCACACTGGACTTTCATGTGGTTTTATATGGGGCCAGCAATTGCACCATTGATCCAGCAGGGAGTCGGAGCGTAGTGATGATTACAGATGATGATACCTTTCCCTCGAATGCCTTCGAGGAGGAAGTAAAGAAGGAGAGTGAGGAGGAGCTATATGGGGTAGGATGGTCTCTGCTGTTCGCCTTCATGTGCTTCTGCTTCAATCATGTGCGAACGATTCGGTGGAAAACATGCCTGTGCTTGCTGTTATCAATGCTTGGAAATGCATACTACTTGTCTACCATTTTCATTCGAGTTTATTTGGTAGACACAGTGCTGGACAACATCACGCCGGGGACTTCGGAGAGGCTTTGGATTCCTGGAGATCGGGACGCCACTTCTATAGCAGTGGGGTTGGCATGGATTCTGCCGAACTTCATTTTGCTGGGGTCCGACTACTTTGAGATGGCGGTCCTTGAGATGGGCTTCAACATCCGATACCATTTGCGCGTAAACTTGTTCCGGAAGTACCTCAACTATACAGACAGGGCGCATCAAACGGTCCCACTGCAGGACCTAAAGATAAGTATGATGGAAGACATTCCAGAACTGGTATCGCAGGGGTATCTGATCATCTTCGAGTTGTGGGCGATGCTGGGCAAGGAAGCCAAAGAAACGAACATTTTCTCAGTTCCCTTCGCAGGTTAGCTTCAAACCTTAAGCCCCCAGCCCGCAGCCCCAAGGCTTAACGTAGCACGGTGAGCCTGCAATGTAAATGCAGAACCACCCACTTATATCTTACTACATAGGCTCGCACCTTGTGTTGACTCTTACCTGTGCGCAGCTCAGGATGTTGGGCAAGATTGCTTGTATTGCGTTCTTCATGCTCCGTAAACATCCGCACAGTGCAGTCCCGCTGCTGGCGTATCCAGTTCTGATTTTCGTTTATTTGCAGTGCACGTGCCATGGCCTACAACTTATGATTTTCCTGTTGGTCGGACGGTTCGACTTCAGGGAGCATGTATGTTTCCCTCCAAAAATTGATGAGCCTTGTCTCTAGCTTCCGGTTGTCATGGACTTTCCAAGATCAGTGTGAAAAAGCTCGAAGCACACGGAAGTCATGTTGTAGCAGCCGTGGCCTTTCGGAAAGGAGTTTGCAAACTGAAGTTACTCATATCTGGGGCAGGACCCAGCGCTGGACATGTTTTTCTTTGTCCGCGTTGCAATCCGCATCAATATTACTCTGCGCTGTAGCCAGGTACTCCAAGCGGCTCGCCCTCATGGCAAGGGAAGGCGAAGGCCAGAGTGACACCACAGGTGCCATCATGCTCCTTGACCGTTCAGGAGCAAGGCTGTGCAAAGTGGACCCCCTTGAGGTGGCACCTGAGCAAGTTTGCAACATTAGAAGCCTGCATTCAGAATTCCTACAAGAACTGGGAAGCACTGCCGCCTCTATAGGGCCTCAGGCCTCGAACTGCAAAGTAAGGGGTAAGCCTCAGGATGCGAGGTTGCTAATGCAAGGGCCTTTTCAAAGTTGCGAATCAAAGAAGCTCAACCAGGCAAGTTCTTGCATAGCTCAGCATGCCTCTTGACATCTCTTGACCTTGCTCACACCAAGCCCGCAAGCTAGTTCTGAGGAACTTGCACACTGCTCAGCGCCTCGTTAATTCCTATGGCATTCGTGGATTCGTGGTTTCTCGCTTTGAGCCTTGACTTAGAAGCTGGCATCCATGGTAAGATATGAAGTAGGGTTGGGATGGGTTGGGTTTTCGTCGTGGTGGGTTTTGTTGAGAGTATACAGCGCTCCTCAGGAACCTTGGTGAGTGTATCTTTGATGTCCCATCTATTGGGGAACCATAGTGTGTCATAGACTAGCACAATATTAAAACAGCCAGCCTGCAGTCAGGAAGAGATCCTGAGACACCAGCGCACCTGCTACAGCAATTAGGGTTTCTTTCAGTTGGTGCTGGTGACGCTGGTGGTTAGCAGTTGTTTTCAGTGTCTGCTGAGTGTCCACTTGGCGTGGCCTTGATTGGCATTAGTTTCGCCACACAGCAAGTTCCCACGAAAGATTCGTGAACAGGACAAATGCAGCTACCATGTGGGGCGGAGCTTCCTGCAAAGTAGCTTTTGCTCGGAGATCTCCGCACTCATGGTTTTGTTGTGTGCGCAGGTAGCCTAACCATGGATCTGAAATCGTTCGAATTCTGGAATTCGCAGCTGATTCCTTGGATCACTCTTCTGGCCATTGGTATCTTGGCTTCTGCTAGCCTTTAGTCATTGTGGTGGGCGGGTGCCTGTCCACAAAATACCGAAGTAAGCCAAGTGTGTGTGCATATCCATCAGAGGAGGACGAAGCCATGATCATTCATAGATTTTGTCTCAGGCAAGGGGAATCGCTAAAGGGTTTGTCCTGCTGCCCTGGAATTAATATCAGCTCCCATAGCGGCAGCAAATTCGGCAAAGAGCACTCATGAAACTCGGTGTTGTGCACAGGTCTTGCCAGTCTTGCCCCGAAGCAGCTTTCCCTACCCCTACCCGCAACTCTCATCACAGACAACGACTGCACAACCTCTCGACCTACCCAAATTGTTGGCAAAGCCCATCATGACAGCCCTGGCAAGTCGGCGCATGCGCCGCAGAACAGCCGCTGCTTTCATGGCTGCTGTATCGGATTTACTTTAGATTTTGCGCGCGGCCATCGCAGATGCTGGCAGCACATGGCGACAGCAAATCCAAGATATCCAAGCAATTACGCAGGGAACCAGAGCTGTCGCAAGAACAGAATCATTTGTCGAGTCAAGGTTTGAACTGAGCACACAGGTATCCACGTGTTGCGCGTGGCGTACTAGAAATACTAGAGGTGGGCAGAACATTGCAGAACAATGTTGGCTTCATTTGTCGCTGTGAGGCTATTACATGGCAATGTCAACAAGGGTCGTGCTCTCGGGCCACACTTCCCTGGGCTCTTTCTTGGCCACGATCAATGTGTACAAGGACAGGCAGGTTAAGGCAATGCTTTGCGGAGTGGGGTAGAAAGAAATGAAAAGAGACTGTATGCAGCTCATCAGCCCGGCCGCTGGGTTTTGCGGTAGGACCTTGGGGACAGATTCTCCACCATCTTGCGCGGCTTCACGTCTCTCAGCGCCTTGATAAAAGTGCTGAACAGCTTTCCAAGCACATTGCCCGGCATGCGATGGCTTACTGTACTGAAGCTTGTGCAGGCCCTGATAATAGATTCATGCAGCGAATCTTCCAAAAGGATTTTTCCAGAAAGCCAAGCCAAGCTGAGGCAAGTCCATCTCCCCACTTTGCGGGGTAACTCTTCAGTTTAGCTTGCCTGTTGACGTGCCGGAGCGCGCGGAGAACTTTCAAAGGCGGCAGGAGCAGCTCTGCTGATTTCGATTGTCTCATGCTAGCCAATGAGACATCACCCCCCTAGCCAAGAGTGAAAGCTTGGCCAGGTTTGCTCTCAGTTGGTTGCAAATGCAAGCTGCAACTGGGCAAGTCTCCCTTGACGACATCCCCATCGTTTTTCAGGAGATGATGTGGTGACAACATTGCAAGCTTGCGTGTCATCTAGTCTGCACACTGTTGGTCTCTAGTCTAGTTCACACAAAGATCAGAAGAAGTGCCCAATGAAGCATGATGTTGGCTTGTCGCGTTTCACGGTGCCCCTCTAGCTGGAAAGTAGTAATGAGATGCAATGAGTGTGGCGATGTCGCCGGAGGACGTGAAAGTCACCCATGCCCCGTACATGCATGGCGCCACCGGGGGGTTCTCGGCACAGGCACGCCAGGGCAGCATTATCCAGAGCCTTGCATTTCCTGGTGTCTTGCTTTTCTATGGCCCGATGGATGCTCAGGGCATGGGCAGGCATGGGGAGCTGACATGTCTGAGGATCGCTGGACCGCACGATTGCGGAAAGATGACGATGTTGAGTTTGATCTGCGATGCGGTGCCGCCATCATCTGGAGCAGTCTACTTATCACCACACCTGATTCTAAGCTGCCTTTGGCATTTATTTACTCCTTCCGATGCCCAGCACCGGCTTGCTTTCTACACAAGGCCACAGTCGATCATAAAAGGATTTATCTGTGAGAGTTCAAACTTCACCTGCTATGTGGCCCCCAACAGCAAAACTCAAGGCTCCCAATAACTTGTCTGTAAGGCACCTGTTGCACGTTCCTCGCCTTCCGCTCTTTGCTGAAAAGTTTGGGATTTTCTGCAACCTCCATATGAGCCTTGCCAGCAACTGAAGTGCCTTGTCAACGAGCCGCGGAAACGTGTCCCAACTTTCACACAGACTGGGCCGGCTGATGGTGAATGAGCTTTCCTCATTATGCACGACCAATAGAAGGGTTACATTATGGAGTTCTGGTGTATCGGGTTCCGATTAAGAGCTTGAGTCTCAAGAGGGGGCTTGAACATGAGCATTGCCTCAGCCAGGGCCAATGATTCTTCACAGTACTCGCCGGAGATCTATGAGCGAGGGGTCCGCATGCTGCAAAAGCTTCGCTTGGACAAGCGCTGGATCAAGGAGCCATGTAGAATTAGGTTTGCAGTGGTCTTTTACCCATGCCAAAGCTCAGGGTGGATTTGAACCACTTGGTATTTCATATCAAGCAGACGCTGAGAGCTGGTGATCCTACGTAGTAGTCCTGTGCAGGAAATGTATGATGGTGAAGCGCTTGCGCTCCACAACGCTGCAAGTGAAACCCGGGAACTGATGCCGCACCGAAATCTCTGGTGCTTTCAAGACGAGGAGGGTGATGCAGAGGGGGACGAGGAGGAAGAGGAGCCTGACATTCCTTGGCTTACCAGGATGAGCGCAAGTGAGAAATGGCGTTTTCAACTGGCACGTGCTCTCCTTCACAACCCACATGTCTTGGCCATACATCGCCCAGTGCAGGAGCTTTCTGGCGAAGTAAGGCAGATAGTGCTAGCATGCTTGAAGGATTTCGTCCGCATGAGGGGCCTGGACGTCGAAGGAGGCCTTGATGCAGCAAAGCGGCGACCGCGCACGGTGATTTTCACAACTGGAAGCGATGACCGCTTTGACTTTGCAGACTACGTTTGGCGGATTACGCCTCAAGGAGTTGCCGTCGAAAAATCACTTCCACCCCTTCAGAACAAGGCACCAAATAATGGTCGATCTGTTTCTTTGCCTGGTTGACCTAGTTCAGCAGCAGCGCACAAGCCGTGGAGATCAGAAAAGGGGTTCCAAAGCCAGAGCTGATCATGTGATTTGTTGGACAGAGTGCTCGTGCTTTTCAAGTCGTGTGGTTATGATGGAGGGAGGTCTGGATCCTTCTGGTGAAGTTTCGATCGCTCGCCTAGCTGGGGCTTCTTTTGAGTTGTTGTGTTCTGCTCCAGAGGCCTTGCCAGTGTCTTGCACCAGGCTCACTTACTCCAGATACCCTCAACTAGCCCTGTTCCAGCTGACTCTTGGGACCTCTTGCGCCCTATGACCGCAGGACAACTGTGGACAACTCATGAATCAGGCTTGAAACGGTCTTGAAATGCAATACAAGGGAAACAGGGCGCACAAGACGACCACTGGACAAGAGAACCCACGAACCATCCACCACAAAAGGGCAAGCTGCTCAAGCCGCAAGAGCGGACCCAAATCAAGATGTTACAGCCGAGCATCGTGTGGTTTCAGCCCCGTGGCGGTGTTGACAACTGTTGTTGTCTTGAAGAATGGAGCAAGCTGTGAATCTTCTGGCAACAGGAGCGGCTGTTCGGCTGTTCATAGACCTTCTGGTACCAGTTGTAAGTTTTGAGATTGACAGAATTCAAGCCAGTTGATAGTTCAGCAAAAGGTCGTTGTTTTCTTGGACCGGAAAGTGCCACATGAAAACTTAGATGCTCGGGATGGTGACCTGGGTACCCACTGCCCTTGCGCTGGCAGCACTTTCAACAGGTCTGGCCTCTGACCATACCATGGGGGACGCGGTAAGGCCATCATAAGTATCTTTAACATGGTAGGTGGAATTCCCGAAGAGAGCGGTGGAACTCCCAGTCATTTATTGACTGAAGCGGAAGCATGTTGTTTGTGGCCCGGCAGACTGCTTGATGTTTCACCTATGCAGCGACACGGACTGGAATGTACCATTTTGGCTCAAGCCCTGTTCATGTGCGAGAGACACATGATGGCGTTTCAGGCGAGCGCATGCAGACGCATTCACGTGTCTTGGTGAGGTTTGTGCTATACTTGAGCGCGTTGTCCTTCTGGATGATGATTTGATTTTTCCCTGCATCTTATGCTGCAATGCGTACACTAAAGCGTCACTTCGCTGATGCACACAATGACAAAAGGCTGTGGCAAATGTTCCCTAAGCTGGCTGTTATGTTCTCATCTGACACAATAAATGCAACCGTTGAGCAGCCGGCATGGTAACCGCAGTTGCGGTGTCGGCTTGCATAATCGAATGCCTCAGAACAGCAAGCCCTCAAGCAGAAGCTCAGAGAGTTTTGATCTGCAAGGCGGAGCTCGAATTGCATACACCCCGTTGGGGAGTGTTACGGCTCTGCCTGTTGCTACCGCAAATATTCCAAATGCTGCACGCGTGATGCAGACGCCAAATGGCAGGCCCGTCATGCGGCTTTTGTTGCATTTTTTCGGTTGTAGTGGCTTCTGCAAGCCTGCAGAGAGCTTGTAGGCCTCTGGCTGCATAAGCACACGGTGACAAGAACCAGCACAATAGCCATAACCCTTCATCAAGGGTCAAAGCCCAGTTCTCAAATGCATGGTCGGAAAGAGAGTTGAGGTCTGTGAGTTTTTTTGCATATCTCAGTGGCTTTCATCTTGTTTATTCTGCTCGTTGGCCTCCTTAACAAATTGTGGCCCAGCATGGACAGGCCAGGCAAAGATGTCGTGCAGTTCCTGTCAAAGACATTTTATGTCTCCGAGAAGGACGGGAATCCTTAATCACTGCAAGGCTTTTCGTGCCAGATTGTCTCGGCACGGCTTTCGTAGCAAGTCCGCGGATCCGGAAGGAGAACGCTGTCATCCGGGTTGTGCGGATTGGCTCACTCCACGGCAAATGCAGTGTGGATTGGGAGACAGTTGACGGTTCTGCAGAGGCAGGCCAGAAGCGACTTGGCCCTCAAGAAAGGTTCGCAGGTTGCGCAATTTCTGATACACGCACAGTATTGGACGGAATCCCCTAATACTTGAAGACCCAAGGGCTCCTGCGACTGGGAGTCCTCCAACTTCGGAAGCAGCCAAGGTACAAAGCAGCTTCTGGCAAGCTTGACTTCAATCATGGTGAGTCTATTCGATCTTTAGAGGTTCCTCGGATTTGAAATGCTAATATCGGCGTATAAGACGCTATTTTGATCTTGTCTAGGCTGCTTGTGTGAATTCATGTCGAGTTGTTTGTGTTCATGCGTGGGGAATAGAAAGCACGGAGGTAGAAATCATTGATGATGACCTTTACGACTCCACACTGGAGTTGCAAGTTGTGCTTACGGGCGCGGACGGTTGTGTCATTGACCCGGTTGGCGCATGCTCGTCTATCATGATCATGGATGACGACATGTTTCCCTCAAACAGACTGGAGGATGACCTCCAAAAGGAGGACGAGGCTGCGTTATATGATAAAGGGTGGACAGTGCTATGGGACTTCATGTGTTTCTGCTACGGCCACGTTCGCGAAATTCGGTGGAAGACCAACGTTGTCCTCTTGCTTTCCATGCTGGGAAATGCCTACTACCTGTCCACGATATTCATCCGTGTGAATTTGGTTGACACTGTCCTTAACACCGCTGATGCTGGTACCTCATCACGGCTGATTGTTCCTGGGAACAGAGATGCCAGTGCAATGGCACTGGCTCTTCTATGGATTCTTCCTAACTTCATCTTGTTGGGCTCGGACTACTTCGAAATGAAGGTTCTAGAAATGGGCTTCAACATCCGCTATTACTTGCGAGTGAACCTGTTCCGAAGGTATCTCAACTACACAGACAAATCTCGCGCACGCGTGCCTATCCAAGACCTGAAAATCAGCATGATGGATGACATTCCGGAGCTTGTTTCGCAGGGCTACCTGATCGTTTTCGAATTGTGGGCGATGCTGGGCTTAATGCAGTGTCATTTTCATGGGATGCAGCGCATGTGCTGTAGCCGAGGATGCTGGGCAAGATTGTGTGCATCGCGTACTTCATGTTGCGGAAGCACCCAGAAAGTGCCACCCCACTCTTCGTGTACCCCATGATCATCATGCTCTACTTGCAGTGCACGTGTCTGTGCTGAAGTGCTTAAGAGAGAAGGTTCTTGCACCTGCCTTCGCGAATTCTGGAAACCAGCATCCTGGCACTGAGGTACCATAGGCGACTCGCACTGATGGCAAAGGAAGGCGAAGGGCAGAGTGACACCACAGGACAGCACGCAATGGCGTGTGTGGGTGGCACGAGGGCACAGCTGCGAAGCTTGTCCTGACAGCGTTGGTTGTGTTCATGCAGGAGCAGTTATGGACTTGAACACCTCCCGTCGGGTGCTGCACATGTACGGTGAGAATCCAGCTGCGGTTCGCAATTTCGAGGCCAAGCTGTAGGTGTGCAAGCCGGAACTGTGCAGAATTGGAGTGACTGCGCTTGAGTGAATGCACCACCTGTCGAAGCTTGTGCATTATAGTCTACAATATTTAGCGGGCAAATCAGAACTCGTAACCTGATGGCACAGGAAAAAAAAAGGGAGGCAGGCAGGGTCTGGGGAGGGAGACTGCACTGCCGGCAAGGTAGAGCGTCGCCTTCAGGCGGCGCAGCCTACAAGGATCAGGAGAGAAACGGAGACGTAGGACATAGAGAGAGAGAGAGAGAGACAGAGAGAGATCTCTCCAGAGGGCTGCTGTTGTAGAGCAACCAATCCCAACACGGGCTGGGCAAGGATGCCCGGGGTGGCCTCTAAAGCCACTCCAGAGCCCGCACGAAAGAAGGAAAAAAGACAGAGAGAGAGAGAGAGACCACAGCCTGAACGAAAGAAAGAAAGAAAGAAAGAGAGAGAGAGAGAGAGAAAGGTACCAAACGGTTGAAGTTTTATGGGTTATATAGGAAACTCCTCAAGTGTGTGTGGGAAGAGGGGTGGAGACTAACTGCGAGGCCCAACAGGGGCTGGGCAGGAGCCCGGAGTGGCCCACCAAAGGTGCCGTGTTCCGGCTGGGGTGTCACAGCTGTCACCAGTAGCGGCGAGGTCCATACGCAGGCTGCAAGGGAGGACGCTTTCCAACCTTCTTCAATGTGGGCTTGCAAGTGTGTAGTTTACTGCCTACGTGGCCTGTGTATGTTCGATAGCCGGGGCCTGGGACAGTGACTGAGCCTGACGACAGTGCCTGCTTGGGGCAATGCCCCGGCCCTCTCCTCATGGAGAGGGTAGAGCAGTGAGAAGAAGAAGAAGAAAAGGTGCCGTGTTCATGTAGCCGTAGCTAGACTAGAGATCTCTGAAAACATGGGGTGGGCCAACAGGGACTACAACCAGGCGTAAGGCTCGCTTACCTGCCAGCAGCGGAGGGGTTGGGAACTGGGGGAGATATCTTAACCCTGCCCATGTTTCACCTGCTAGAGAAGGGCGAAACTCACTTCAGGTCCCATGGAACGCATGTAGTGTAGAAGGATTTCACCTTGGGTTAGTGGCATGTAATTGGACTCTGCAATGTGTGCTAGCCCGGGCCTCGTGGGTAGCCGACAAGACCTCGACAGTTCAGGGCTAGAGGCCTAGCCCTAGCATGCTCACGAGAGTGCGCCGAGTCCATAGAATGCAGAAGAAGAAGAGAAAGGCAGTATTTCGGAAAGGTGTTTGCTAACTCTTCCTTGCATTGTTTTCGGATCCTATGAAAACAGTACGGTGCTATGGGGCCAAGCCCCGACCCAGCCCCTGGTGGGCCGCGTGTAGCATGTAGAAGATGTAGAAACAGAAACGATGCGGCTTCCCCATGCATGAAGAGTAGCCGAAGAAAAGACATTCTGACGTCAGGGGCTTTTGCGTCACCAGCGCTGCCCGGCCAAGTTATCCTTGTTGCGACACATGCTTGTCTACCTGCTTTTCTGCATACGCAAATGTCTATATTGTGGCCGTTGCAGCATGTTCCAGTTTGCGGAATAGTGACACCTGACACACTGTTGTTTTCGTTGCAAGCGCATGCCTTGACTTAGGCAGCCTTACGATGGATCTAAAAAGATTCCAGTTCTGGAACTCTCAAGTTATTCCGTGGATCACTCTCCTTGCGATCGGCACCTACATGGGGCTGTCAACCCGTGTTGTTCTGAGCGGCAGCACTTCTCTTGGATCCTTCCTGGCTACCATCAACGTTTATAAAGCCGGGAGCTGAATCAAGATGCTCAATGCTCCGATTCAACAAGTTGCCAAATTTTCTGATGAACCCCTGAGCAGGACCTGGGCGATCGGTTCTCCACGATTTTGCGTGGCTTCTCCGCTCTCAGCAAATCGATCTCTCCCTTGTGCGGAATTTGTCTCCAGATGAATTTCGAAACCGACCTGCCGGCGAGGCGTGCTATCTTCAAGGCGCGAGAGTCGTTTCTTGGCAGGAGGGTGTACTATTTTGAAACCGGACCCATCATCATATGACGCCCAACAGCCAGCGTTGCAGATCCTGCACGTCCAAAGCGGCCGACTCACTTGGCTGCGCATTGCACGTATTGCGTTGAATGGGAATGGTGCAGACAATTCCCAGCAGGCAGCGGCAAGACGTTCAATACAAGGATGCGGCGCTGACTTTTTAGTGGGGACGTCTGTGAATGTGTGTGAGTAGCATCTTTGAACGCGCGATGCATGCTGCAATCTCATTATTTAAAGCCCAGGGCATTCTGAAGAACGCGTAACATGCAATCACCTCCATCTAATGTTATTCCCCACGCTCGCAGTGGGGTTGTTCGATTTTAAAAGTCTATGTTGTCCCCGCCCTCCATGCGGAGCCTGGCTGCAGTGCTCAACAGCAACGTTTCCCTGCGCCAGTCCTGCGCCCAACCCAGAGTATCCCTGCAGTGCGCCACCAACCAAGTATCCCTGCATTGTCCAACTGCTGAGTATCCCTGCAGTGCCCAACCAGTGCAGAGTATCCCTGCAGTGCCCAACCACCAAGCATCCCTGCAGTGCCCAACTGCTGCGTATCCCTGCAGTGCTCAACCGCAGAGTATCCCGGCAGTGCCCGACCACCAAGCATCCCTGCAGTAGTGCTCAACCGCAGAGCATTCCTGCAGCGCCCAACAGCAGAGTACCCCTGTGCCCAAACCCACAGTGCTCAATGGCAAAGTGTCGTTGTCGTGCCCAGCCCTTGCAATGCCAAACCCCTCAGCAGTGTCAAACTGCAATATTCTGGCCGTGCATTTGCAGTGCTGCAAGGAAGACCGTTTGGGGGCGGGGCAGGAAACCCTACATTTCTTGTGCAATAATGGCTTCAGGGTGGGGATGCTCGAAGTAAATAATGCCCGCTTAGAAGAGCACTTTGAATCGAAAGGTGGTGATTATTTTGAAGCGGAGCCGAACCAACCCAGCCAAGAACGAACTTGGGGGGGTTCTGAGGTCTTTGGGGGTATGTTACACGGAATCAGAAGGAATCAGGGATCTCCTTAATGTTCTCGTTTTTCATGGGTGTTATATGGCATCTGGTTCTTATGAGGGTTTTGTATTGGAAAAGGCCAACGGGAATCTCGTTACAAACGCAGACTATTGACTCGAACTATCTGATTAGTTGATGTTTGATCTGAGTTATAACTGGCTGATTAGACTTAGCCCCCCCCCGAACTGATGCATTTTCCGACAGTTTTTCTACTGCGGGGGGCTGGGTGGGGGGAGGGGGGGGTAGGTATTTATTGAGAGAATTAGATATCGTTCCCTTTAAGTTCCATTGCAAAAGCAAGTCCTCTGGAATCAGTTGGGATCCGAACTCAATAGGTGCATTTCTTGTTTCAGCCCATTGCCTTGTCCTTGGCTACACTGCTTTACCCATATTAATATATTTCTCTTTGGTACAGCTGAATTCACGCATATGTTCTCATTAGTTCATCAGGTCTACGCAATTACTTGGCCCGTTCAAATCTTAGGCTAACTCTGATTAGTTGACTACTTCTAACCAAATTCAAGTCATTTCCTTATTTGTGCTTTTTAACTGTCATCCGGTTGTTTCGAACAAATTATTTGCTTCCACTTTTTCACCAAGCAGTGCTCAAGGGAGTAACAGCTCACTCAGCATGAGTACCTGAATTGTTTTGATTCCCACACAGAAGATTCTTATGTGCTTCCTGAGTTTGGAACTTGAAATCCTTTACCTCTTCCTTTCTGATTGAATGCGGAAGCATTCCTTCATGATGTACTTCTTACGCACAGGCGCTATGAAACTGCCCAGGCATGGGGGTTGGAATCAGGCACGCCAGCTCGCATCCGGCATGTTTGGGTCCAGGCTTAGAGGAAAGCTTCGCGAAAGTGTTTTCTCTCGTGAGTATGTCATTCAAAGATTATTTGTCAATTGTTGAATCTCCCGGTATTTTGCTGGGCATTTGCTCGGATGCCGTGGCAGAGGCTGTTCCACTCAGGTTTGTCTTGGACTGGGTGGAAAAATCGGCAGCCAATACAAGCCTGGATGAAATCCCCATCGCCTTTGCGGAGGCCACCGTGCTGCACAGCCCTGCTATGAACACTCGCAACAAGGCACTGACTACAGAGGCACGACAGGGAGCCATCATCCAGATCGCTGGTCCTCATGACACTGGAAAGATGACAATCCTGCAGCTTTTGTGCGGCCAGCTGCGACCAAGCTCTGGCGAGGTCCTGGTTTCACCTCACCTCGAGATCCTGTACATTCCCCATGAGCCGCTGTTCATTCAAGGGCAGGGCCTCTTCAACAACCTTCACATGATCAGCACGCTCCAGGAGTTCCGGAACGTGAACGTTGAACGAGGCTTTCGAATCCTTCATCGCTTGCGCCTTGACAAGCCTTGGATCAAGGACATCTCTGCCTGCCGCGAGTTTAGGAACATGTGAGCCCTGAAGCCCCCTGAACCTGAAGCAACGTTCAGACATCTGCAGGAGCTATATGATGCCGAAGCTGCAGGCTTGCAAGAGGCTGCGGAAGCGCATCCCGGTTTAACAGATGCTGCCTGTGGATGCTTTGACGAACTCGAAGAAGAGGAGGAGGAGAAAGAGGAGGGTGAGGAGGATGAGGATAGTGATTCTTGGATGGAAAGGCTGAGTTCCAGCGAGCAGTGGCGTTTTCAACTGGCACGAGCGTTCGTGTCTAATCCGCATGTCTTGGCCATCAGCCGTCCCGTCCAAGAACTAGATGAAGACATGAGGCAAACCGTGTTGTCTTGTGTACAGGATTTCATCCGTCACAGAGGTTTGGAGATGAATGATGGTTCAGACTTCCAGCAGCGGCGCCCGCGCACGGTGATTTTCACGACTGGCAGCACTGTCCGTATTGATATAGCAGACTATGTGTGGCGACTGGGGGCTGACAGTGGTGTTGTGATCGAGAAGTCGCCTGCGAACATTCCTCAGCCGGCCTCTGTGGCACAGTCAGGAGGCGTTCAGCGATATCAACAGCTTCCACCGTATAGTCGGCCCTTCACCTAGAAAACAAGTGTGCCAGGTTCCGGAGCATGCGCTTTCACTCTTTGCTAATGCTTTCGCCGGATTGCTTTATGCGAGTTGCGCGAGTCAATAAGAAGAGCGCCTGCCGGGTCCCGCTGCGGCAGCCTTTGTGGCATGTAGCAGCAGTGTATCAGCTTTGGCATGAGAGGCCTGACCCCGCACTGCCCCGCACCTCACTCGAGCTTGTCAGGAAAATGGTCGACGAGACAGGAGTTTCGACCCAAGGCTGGCATTGACGCTTGAGAATGTCATGTTGGCTGCGACCAGGTCTGCGGAGTATGTATTGCTGAAGGAAACAGTCCCGGAGAAACCTCGGTTTCTAGAGGTCACTTCGCCAAAAATCCACGAGGATGCAGTTGGCCTGGAAGGTTTCGGTCGCCTCGCGCAGGTCGAGTGCTCTAAAGCCGTTGACGTCCCCGATCAGTGGTCTTGTGGACAGGAGCTCACATGCTTTTCCAGTCTGGGTTGTTTTGCCTTGGAAATGCTCATAGAAGTCTGGTCTGGCGAATCTCGTTTGTCCTGATGCAGGAGCCTGTGCAGTGAGCTTGGCCCTCAAACTGCAGTTCGACGTTGCCAGGTGAATCCAATGTTGACATTCAAGCAGCAGCTTGCCCATCAGACTTTGTTACCTAAGTGCCCCTGCAGTCCCGCTGTAGAGAACTCAGACTAGATACTGATTCTGTGCGCAAGCACGCAGCAACTCGAGGTTTCAACTCCTGGCGATTTCTTTGGATGCAGCGCAAGGAGCAGTAGGCCAGTGCCGATTTGGAAGTGATTGCGGCGTCCGATGGCACTACAGATGCCTTGAAGTGTTGTCGCGCAGACCTCTTGCGATGTCTCGGGCTAAACAACGAGAGTCTGTTATCACTCAATCTGCTATGGCATGTAGCGCAAAGCAATACAGGCTGCGCTATGGGCAGCATAGGGCTGGCACGTTGAGCGTAGCCATTTCTGCTTCACCAGCCTCGGGAAAAAAGCAGCGGCGCAAGACAACCTGAAGTAACCCAGATTGGGCATGGACCAGATGAGTCTTTTCTCAGGGTGTTGCTATTCTCTCAGAAGTAGCCAAGTACATCAAGGGCAGTTAGTGGCCCTCTTCAGCAAGCAATGCAGCCGCTCGCCCAGCTTCGCCCATTCCAGCTGGCTTCGCCTTCCTGCCAGCCCTGTGCAGGGTCCAAGGCTGGACGTCTTCAACCATCTTGAACCGTTTTCAGGAATTTCGGACCTGGCGGCAACGGCCAGCCCGGCCGTCCCCCCTTCTGAAACTCCAGAGAAAGTCTGCATTGTGCTGATCATGTTCCAGATCCTTTGATGCTTTCGATTTTCGATGGTTTAGCAGGGTTTTTGGACCTCCGTCTTGTCCCCTGCCCAAAATGGGGCCCCTGATGCTCGTGCCACCATGCGCCCACGCGCCGTGTGCGAGTTATATTATTAGCACAAATGCTGTAGGACCTCATGTCACGTAGGAAGCCCAACAGCAACCATCCAAAGCGCTTTGAACATGGATTCCTGTGCATGCTTCTTTTTTTTTCACCTCAACATCAAGTTTTGGCAGGGGTGCTGGATCCTCCTGTGTGCGGTATCAAGAGGGAGATGGGGAGCCCAAACAGGCTGCATGATCCTCATGATGCTGGCTTCTTGGGGGCTGCGTGGCTAGAAGCCCCAGCAAAACGCTTAAGTGCGTGCTGTGGGCAGTATTTGAGGCTGCGGAAGCAAGCAATGACCACACAGCAACCTAGTGTTGATAGCGCCTGCTCGGCATGGAGGAAGCAGCGCATTCAAATAACACAGGAATTGTCTGACACCAAAAGCACGGACCCAGGGGACGGTCGGCGGTGCGGGCTTCACCCCTATAAAGCACAGCGTCCGCCGGCAATGTCGGATTTTTGTAGGTGGCACCGCCGAACAAGTACCATTGCTTTTCAATCAGGGATCCCCGAAATCCAGATCGTGATCGATGCATCCTACTCTCAATCAACAAGCTAATGCCAGAGGTAGTAGTGACACGAATACTGAAACTAGTATAAACATTACCACTCACACTAGGCCTGCGCCACCTGCTGGACCAACACCTTGCCATGCATTCGAGCTAGACAGTGGGGTGGGGGTTGGGGGAGGGAAATACGGCGGATTAATTGCAACATCAGCGATTGCACACACAGCCAGTGCAGCTTTGTCTACTCCTGGTGTGTAGGGTCAGCTTCTCAGCACTTGTCCTTTTTACGTTTCTTACGCGTCCGAAGGGACATAACATGTGCATTGTTTAGGGCCGTTTAGGGGCCCCTGTTAAACCAGGGAATGCAAGAATGGTATCTGCCACGCAACATGTGAGCCTGGGAGGGAGTGCCTGCGCAATGAGTCTTTGAGGGAGAAGGAGGTATACAGTGCAGAAGCACTGGTTGCTGTTGTGTTATTGTTGTGCTCCTGGCGGAGGGACACTTACCGCTGGTGCATTTGCTGAAAAACTTTGCTGAATTTGGAGCGCTTGGCAATGCCTCTGAAGCAGCTTCCGCGCTGTAGCAGTACATTGCTACGAATGCTAGTGACACTGGCACTCGTATACCAATAACTACTCAGACGATACAATATTATGCCATTACACTTGCTGAAACTAATGTTAATTAAGACTCTTGCTATTGGTACTTCTGTACGAGTACAAGTATTGACACAAACAGTACTAGTAATGCCATTGCAAACATTCATAGCCATCTTCATTTAAGAGCTACTTCCAATACGAATACGGACACGAGTGCTAAACGGCCAGTTCTATTTTACTAGTTGTTTCATTTTAAGAGGGTTCTGGTGCCAAAGTTTTCCCAAGCTTGAAAGCTTCTTGGCTTTCAGGATTTCCTTGACAGGAAATAGGGTCCACAGGAGTTTTGTTCAAACGACCTTCTAGAACAAACCCTGAGAAAATTGATTGGGCATATTTGGATCTGGGGTTTGCCAGGTTTTGGGGTTTAAGCTTAAACTTCCTTCGGCTGTCTGGCTTTTTGAATATTGGCTTTGTTAGTAGAGATTCGGACGGAAATCCTGTAAGGCGTAAGCCTGGAAGCTCTTTGGCTGTAAAGCTTTCCTTGGTAGGTTTAAATTCAAGAATGAATAGGACAGCCGATTCTGAATGATTTTCCGATATTTTCCGATATGTTAAGCCAACCACCCCTGCAAAAAGGGGTCTGGACCTGAAGTGCTTCTGGCATTGCGCAGGCAGCGTTGAAGGATGCAATAGACCCCCAGCCACAGCGCCGGTCGCAAGCTGCTCGCGCTGTGGGCGCTGCAATATTGGGAGCCTTGGTCATTTTAAGGCAGTTCCATTTCAGGCTTGTTCTCTACACAGGCACTCCGTGGTGCAGTGATTGCTTGAATGACTTCATGGAGTGGCACGCAGAGAGACATCCAGACCAATGCCGCACTTCCACAGGGTTTGCCGCCTTGCCTGCGCGAGCAGCTCAAACAAAAAGCGCGCTGTCGACAGAGGACGAGAGAACAGTTAGGTATGGGACAGCTGGATTTGTTTTAGTTTTAATGCCTGGTGCTGCATGTCGCCTTGCACATTGGCCGAAGGACAAAATTGCCATTCTTCAAGAGGCTGCCTTGGTGTTGCATGCGATGCGCAACAGTATCATGCACAGCGGTTGGCTGTGCACTGTGCGGGAATTCCGCCAGTTCAACGCAAACAGGGAGAGTGGGTAAAATCAAAGAAGAGAGCTGCTCAAAGACACTGATACATTCTCCTTGGCGGCGCGTTTGGTTTCTCAAGTCAGCTGCAGTTCGGAGCCTTGACTGGTAGAGGTGCAGAGCATGGGAGACGTCGCCATCAATGCTCCCACAGTCCAAGAAGAAGAGGCTTCGCAGCAGCGATGGCAGCAACGGTGTCCTTGTTGGCATCTCAGCCATGTCCGCAGGCAGCCTGGACAAAAATGTTGGAACGATTCGCAGGCCTTCCTGACATAGAGGCACCGAGCCACATATACATCACAACATGAGAGGTTTTCACAGTCAGCCCTGAGGTTCGGGTACGCAGCAATCGCGGCAATTCCTTTGCACGTCAGGGAAAGCTGAAGGAAGCCCTCGAGGCGGCTGCATGTGTTTTAATCGCGGAAGCTGGAGACATGAAGAAGCGGTGGATGATTTTTTCAGGGCAACTTGGCCTTGACTGGATTGACGAATTGGCAAGACAGTGTGATTGAAAGATGATCTAGCCCAAGACCTCAGCTCAATTATCACCCCAAAAAGGCTTGCCCAAGCGCAGCACGCAGGATTACAACCGTGCGATCGAGTTGGTTCCAGACGCCCTGCCCTAGGTGCAATTAGCCCGCTTTGTGAAATTGTCGCTGCTTGCCGTAAGTGTGTGATCGTGCAGACGCTGCCATCGCTTGATGGATCGCCAAGGCAGTCGACCCTCACTTGAATCGCGGCGCTGTCTATGAGTCTATGGGTCGGCTGGAAGATGCTCTTCTGGACTACGTGTTTTGGCAGCAGCTGGCAAAGTTCTGCTGTCTATTTCTTACAGTCTGAAGGGTGGGTCACAGTTGGAAAGGTGGGAGTGCAAAGGATGCAAGTCCTGTGAATTCCTAGCCTTCTTGAGCCGAGGATGTAGTTCTGCAGCAAGACCCTGGCGAAGCGGGACTGCAATCGAGTCCGCGCATGCGCAGTTGCACTTCAAGTACAAATGCTAGCTGAGCTGTCACGTTGTACCTGGTCGAGCCAATCTGCAGTCTGCGGGGTAGTCTGCTGCCTAACGTTTACGGGCGTCTCCTTGTTGGCAGTGATGCGAGAAACAGGAGCAAACAAGGGCTAGAATCAAGCGACGTTGTGTGGAGAACTCTCCTTCTTTTCCCGCGCATCTGCCAAGGACCCTGCAGCCTGGAACAATCGTGGCAATGCGCTGCTGGGAACCATGTTCGCACAAGTTGTAAGTACTAGTGTGTCATGGGATGCTGACCTGCTATTTGAGTGGCTGGTGCGACTGCAGGCCTCAAGCGCTTTGAAGAGGCCAAAGACTCCTTCCAGCAGGCGGCGCAGCTACAATGTGGGATCTGCTCGGATCCAGACCCGCATGTTACCATGTTAGCTTCTCAAGCTGTTGGATCTTGCTCGGAGCCTCCCAATTCGATTGGCCCCCCACTTTGGCTTTGAGTATCTGACCTTAGGCGGCATTCAAGCAACTTACGTCTATCAGGTAGCAACGCAGTCTCAGGGCGACCCGTAGGTGTTCAAGTTCAAAAAAATGCGCGAGGCCTTCCATCAGGAGTTTGACAAACAGATGGTTTTCCGAGGTATCTATGAGTGGATCCCTCTAGTAACTCTATGTGACTCTAGTGCTCTCTTTATTAGGCACTATCATATCTGGCAGGCTACATTGGCTTATGCCACGAGTCTAGGCTTTGAAGCCCACTTCTCAATCTCCAGGGCGCCTCATCCTGTTTGTCCGGCAGGCGCTCGATATATCAGGTTCGCAGCGCTTCGCCTTTGCCGGGGTGAACCTTGCTTTGGCCGGACCCGGGCATTCTTTTCAGGGCTGACCATTAGCTTGTGAATTTAAAGCGGAGGGGGTACCAGAGAAAGACGCATGATGTGTTGCTTGCTTTTTTGCTGCTCAAAACCTGTCAGTTTTTATCGTACTTGACATGCAGGCACAGTATGAACTTGGCGAAGACGACAATTCGGTACAGACTCTGCGGAAGCTGTTGGCGCGCTTTGCAGAGGTCACGTGTCTGGGTTATTCTACTACATGAGCTTTGGGGACAATCTTGCAGATTCTTCCAGAGACCCGCTTGTACTGGGGCCCCCACACCAAAGATAGGACGAATTGCCACGTCGGAAAGTTTCAGGTTCAGGTACTGGCCTTTCAGCCGCGAGCTCTGAATGCTCGTGCCAACGTTCCTCAGGCCTTTCCAGACGCGCGGGCTGCCTATGCTTTGATCATGTGGGACAAAGGGGACCGCATCCTTGCGGAGTCCGCGCCCTGTCTGAAACGCAGGTTGCCAGAACCAGCCTTGTTCCAAAACTCAAGGCAGATCCTGATGATGCATGCATGGGGTTGATGTTCAATGTAAGGCACGAATGCGGGAATAAGTTGTGAATCGACAAGCAGCCTGGCGCAGCAAAGTCTCAGGAGTGGGACCGGGCCACGGCTGCAGACCCACGCTACCGCTCCGCCGATTGGGTTAGAGGCATTTCAGCACTATGCCGCACAGTATCTCATGTGCTGAGCAAGACAAGCTTTGGCCGCTAGCCGCCTGACCTGCTGTCGTAAACCATGCCGGTCGTCGTACATGTGGCGTGAGTGATATGAAGCCAATGGGGTATGCTCGCATGATGCACTGGATTCACTGGATGTCTCCGACACCAGGCACTTCTCACGCAGTGTTGGCAAAAAGCACGTGCAGCGGAGGGCTAGTCTTCGAGTGCCAACGCCAGGCTTCCGCCGCTGGCCGCCACGGCTGCTGGGCATTTTCGATCGCTTTGCTGCAACCACCTCTGTGAAGGCGTCGCGGGGGCCAACATATAAGACAGCGTGTGGATCATGAGGGCACGTAGGCTCAAGCAGGTATCAGGAAGAAGCTGTCTAAACAAGCTGCCCAAGCGGAATTCGCTGCGACAAAGCCTTTGACACTGTCAGGTGAAGTGAGCCCGGACAGGCTGAAATCGAAAAAGAAGACGTCTTTGGCTTTGGCGGTGACCAAAGGGTGTCCAAACTTGTGAAGACCCATTCACGGTAGCCGCTGTGGAATAGCTTGAGCATAGTGAAAAGGCAATCTAGACCCAAAACGGCCAGGTCTTCCTGAGTCCCTAGAAAAAATCAATCAGTGTGGCCGCGCACGCGCATTCTCTGCATCATCGACCCTCTAGAATGCAACAATGCGTAGGCGCCAGCAGCTAGAACAATCAGAGCAACAAGAGCTCTGAATTTTGCGGCACAAGTGGTCCTCAAAGTGGATGACCTGTTGTGCTTACTACGCTCTTGACGCATGCGTGGTTTGTGTTGTGTTTCTGTCGGCAGCTTGCCTTGAATTGCAGGAGCGTCAAAGATCGCAAAATCAATCAGAGGATCGATTCGCCTGTTTGTGCCCGGGCCCCGACGTTCCGCATTTACAAGGCTTCGCAACGATTTCTGTTGTGAGGAGGTGGCAGACAAGAGACAAGAGGAAGAAGTAGGATCCGTTGGGGCATGTAATTTGATGCGCAGATTGTTGTGATTCTTCTGTCAGGTCTCCTAAAAATCCACCCAGATGCCCGGCCAATATCCCTAGCAGCTGCACCTCACAGTCCAGTTAGATGAATGCCCGCTTTGTCGCATGTGTTTCGCCGCCTGCTCCTTTCCTGAATTACATCTGCAGCAGTTCTGCCAACTGAACCGACATGGGTGTGCTGCTCTCATCTAGTGAATCAATGGTATACAGCGATTAGCTCCAAAGTCCTCGCGAATTTCTTGCAGAATGGGAACATGGAGCAGTAAGGTCGCAGAAAGTTTTGAATTGTTCGAAGAGCACTCGGGTGCAAGAAGGGGGACCTGAGAGCAGCATGCCTTGGGCCATGGCTTGCCGAGCGCTATTGCTGTTGCTTCTGGCGCCGCTGGGAGTGGAGAGCCGCGGCTTGAAGTTTGTATCTTCGGCACGGCGGAACAATATCATTATTTCAGCTTGATAGACCTGAAGCAACACTGAGACGTTTTTTGTTTTAACGAAGAAGCTGAGCTCAATGATTTCAAGCTCTGTTGTCCCTTTAGCCACGTTAGCCTATGGACAGGCTTCATATTTTGCTGTGCCATGCCACTGCACAGCTGCGCATGCGTTTTAATGCTGCGGTTGTTGGAAGTCAACGGGCTGCTAAGAGGGACACAGCACAGGTCTGCGGGTTCGTGAAAATCTGTTTTTGCAGCTATCATACAAAGAGCTGCCCGGAGCGGCAAGTATGCTTGCATTCCATTGCTTTGACAACAGCCAGCCACCGCACATGCAGGTTTAGCTTGCGCTTGCAACACCCTCTGCACGGGACGGACCAGCAAGTATTTTGCAGATAAGGTGTGGAGATGCCTCAACTGACGATGTCTCAATCCTGCAGCAGCACATGCGCGTTGCAGGCATGCCTTTCCTTTTCCTGGTCATGCTGGAACATGAGTCTGCACTGGTTTTCACAAGTTCAAAAGTTTGCCCTGCCAGACCCTGTGGCCTCCCTCGAGTCCCGGCTCGAGGACAGGTTGAATGCCATGGAGCAGCGGCTGTTGGTCTGGGAGAGCCTTGGTTGTGGCAGCACCTGTTGCTGTACCTTGTGCGGTCAGAGGATCCAAGGAATGCTGCACCACCGCCAGCTCCGCAGAAGAACAGCCAGCCGCAACAACCTGCCACTCCACTGGGTGAGTGGAGAGTCGCTGCCTCGAACGAGAACATTGTCAACCCGCACAGCCTCGGCAGACTGGCTCAGCCGCAGGCAACTCTGCCTCCCGAGCAGGTGGAGGACTGAGGGTGTTCAGCTTTGCTTCATGGAGCATGTGGGAACAATGCCTGTAAAGCTGTCGTAATTCCTTGAGCGATTGGTGTTGACAAGTTCAAAGCGTATGCTCGAAAACCAGTCCAGGTTTCCCTGTATGAGCGGGAGGTATTTAGCTTTAGCGCTTTGGGTGCACTTGGTGTTGTTTCGGCTGTATCGCATGCAGGCAGCGGCTGCGATGCAAACGCAAGTGCAAGGCCTCCTTTCTGTGCCAACCGGTCTGAAGAGGGCACCATCCTACGGCATAGCACAGCACAGCGGCAACTCAAGTAGCCAGAGCAACAGCATGCAGTACTTGTAGTTGCTCCTGAAGTCGCTTGAGGTGTCACATCATGGCTGCATAGCATAACTTTGCTGCAATCTGCGCTGCGTACTTGCCATGTCGTGATTGCGGGAGGCGAGAGTGCCTTCCCCTGGTGGGCGGTAGATGGCCACTTAACTGCACATCCTGCAGTTGGGTGCGCAGCAAAGTATCTGGGGATGAAGGAAACGATGCGCGGAACGGCCAATAAGGAAATGATGCGCGGAACGGCCAAGCGGCTGGAGCTGCTGGAAGAAGTCATCATCGATCCTCTGAATTCGTCAGGGCCCTGGAAGCTGAGATGCCTTCGTAGTGCTCGGTTATCCCTCGCAGCTTGACTAAGCTTGTCATGAGGTATGCCCGGGCATGGACGAAATCCTGGAAGGGAGGACTCTCAAACTCGGCTTCGGAAGAATTAGTGGTTAGCCCTGGCTCACTATGCTTGGATTTTTGTTTTAATGGCGGGTCTTGGCAAGATGTTGCTTGCATGCCCTTGCCGCACTCTTGCCAATGAACACGCTGAAATCTCTTGGCGCCGCGCGAGTCCCTAAGACATGGCGGTTGATGTCTTTCTGAGGAACGCAGCAATCGCAAAATTGTGCAGTGCTGCAGGACGCTTTGTGAGCATGTTGTGTATCTGACGCAGACGATTCGTGAGCTTCGATCAGAAATGGATACGCTGGACACTCCACTTGCAATTGGGATTTGCAAGCTGTCAGATAAACACTCCTTCAGGGCCATGGGCTTCCGCAATTTAAGCTACGCTAAGTACTTTGTTGGCTGGTCTATTGCCTTCAGCGGCGGCTGAATCCTATCAGGTTTGAGCCCGAATGCATTTGTAGGCGTGCACGTTGACCCAGACGGCACCGAGCCTCCTATATACTTTTTGTCGCCTGTGGGAGTGTTGCCACCGCGTTGGCCTGAGGCAGCACTTTGTTTTTCATGTGTCTGCTTATCAATCCAAACCAATTTGACCTTGGAGCAAAAAGAAAGAACATCTCACACCGTCACACACCTGGAGGCGTCAACAAATCTTAGACAGTGCATCCTCTAGACAGACCCCAGGTCACCCACTGGAGTTGAACCTGAAACGATGCCAAGTCAGGTGCCAGGTTTTTTTTCAAATAGATTCCTGGCAAACAAGCCATTTTGCATGACGGAACGGCAAAAAGTTGACGCTGAAACTGATTCGCGATGACAGCTTGCGTCTTCACTCTATAAGATCTTCCCTGCAGGGCTTGAGTGCGTGACCCATGACTCATCAGAGCATCGGCTTTCAAACCTGAGCTAAGGGAATGTGGAGCCAGCAGCGTGCAAAAGAAGTACAAAGCCGTGAAGATCAGATGGAATCCAAAGTCTTGCAGCAGAGCCAGTCTATCGAACTGCTCGACGATGGAGTCCACAAGCTAGTGTCTGCACTGCAGTCTGATGGTTCTCAGCACGTCTCAGCAGCAAACGCAGAAATAAACCAGATCTGAAGTCTGACATCCCCCCCAGATTTGGACTTTCTCATGCCCAATGCTCGATATGTCAAGGGGTGTGATCGAGGGTTGCCAAGTTGAAAGCAAAGTGCTGTTGTGCTGGTGGCATGTTTAGATGGCGTCGCGGCTGCGCTTGAGAGAGAAATTTCCTGAGAAGCGCGCCGTTGGCGGGGAAGTTTGCAAGATGCTCAGATCTAGGTCCCTGTGCAGCAGCCAGCCAAGGAGAATTCAGTTCACCAAGAGTCGAAGTTCTTAAATGGCATGGCCAGGGATGTTCTGGCCATGAACAGCAGCCTGCGGGAGTCTGCCACCAGGAACAGCCTTTCAGCTAAGATGTGGTAATTTTTTTGGGCAGAGCTTGTAGCCGACAACAGGGCTCGTGAACAAGGACTTCTTACAACCATATACAGCGTTGGGTTTCTGGATGTTTGGGGCTTCAGGAAGATCACCCCCAGATTGGCTGTTGTCTCACCTTCCAAGGTTAGCTATGATTCCATGATGTATTCTGCATGTCAAGGATCTGCACCGTGCGCCCAGGTCAGGAGATTGGGGAGCTTGTCCGGCATCAGCAGTCTGATGAGGAGCAGTTCGCTCACGCCAGCGAGCTACTTGCCTTCTAGCACCAGGGTAGTACTAGACACGGCGCGACTATCCCAGCTCTGCAATGCTCCGACATGTCAACATGCAGAAGCCAAAGGCCAAGGCGACACCAATCATGATGGATGCGTTGCATTGAGCTTTCTTTGCCAGGCTCATGAGCGGCCTGTTGAACACGCAGCACAAGGAGTGGAGACGGGAGCGAGCTTGCAGAACTTCATTTCGTTTGATGCGTCTGGGAAGGGAAGGGCGCCCGAAACTCATCATGCTAACTCGGCACCCTGCAGGACGAGCTTCAGCTGTCCAATCACGAGGGATCCATCAGCAAGCTCGGTGAGGCTACTGGTACTTTGGATTCATGAAATCAGCCCAACCCAGGGTGCAAGCTTGCAATTTTGGTTGAAGTGGAAGTTATTCAAGCGTGCAGTTTCCACCTCCTCACACTCATTGCCGCCAAGCCCCAAGCTGTTTGTATTTGGAATCTGCTCTGTCTACGATCCAACCCCGGAGTTGCCAGGTTCAGGTTGAGGACGAGACAAAGATTGGCCAAACTGCGAAGCAGGTTTTGAGCATGGCTCGTCAGGTGGAGCCACTCGGATGGTTTTCTGTGGTCAGAAAATGCATTGAGCCAGCTAAGTTTTGCAAGTCGTATAGTGGCTCTTTAGGGCTTGGTAGCGTTAGACGCGGCCGTCTGCTGTCTCTCCTGGCCCAAATCTCAGGTCAGTAAACCAGTCGCAGGAGCACATTCGGCTTGACTTTGCAGTTGCGGAGCATCATTTCGAGCACCAAAGCCAGAACCTGGAAAGCTTGGCGGCGAACGTCTCAGGCAGCTCGCGAGCATTTGTCGCATGTCATCTATGAAGAACGCGCTGACCGCGTTGACACAAGCCAAGCCCAACTCTGCACGCTTCTGCCCAGTCTTGCTTGATACGTTCTTCTGCCTGAGGCCTTGGAATTCACCTCGATGAAGTGCAGACACTTGGTGACGCAAGCGGGGTACTTGTGACATCTTGGGGCAACGGATTTGTCCGACTTCTGGTGGAAATATGATTGCAGCTGAATCAAGTTAGGGTAGAAAGCAGATGATCTGCTTTTGGATTCAGTGGAAACATGGAATCCATTAGATCTGAGTCCTGGATATTGCCAGGACTGAGTTTGAAGGGGCGCTGGAGAATCATGGGTCTGAGATTCTTCAGAACAAGGCTGGCTCAGAGGGCATGACAACTTGCGATGCTGGATGCGCATTGTTCTTCTGGCTGCAAGTAGCCCGCCTGTGAGAGAGTTAGAATCCGTTAGAATCGCACGTGCTGGGACGGTCTCCACCGGGAACCTATGGAAGCACAACTGATCTGATGCTGAGAAGTGCCGGCACTAAGCTGAACATCAACCGCAGGAGAGTTTGGACCGTGTGGATGAAGATATCTCTGCAACTTGGATTTCTACGTTGGCTACTGCTTTCATTTTCACTAGCAAACATTTCTCCGCGCTTGAAGCTTTTTCGGGAATGCTGTAATTTACAGGGTGAATCTGCAGAGGCCACCTGTAAAAACGTTTGCTCAAACGTTGTTCAACAACGTCTCGGTGGTTGTCCGGTCGAGACTCCAGTCTGTTGCTGATGAGGCGCTGAAGACTGCCAGGGAGAAAGATGCGCAGAAGCTGCTGGAGCTTCACGAGAAGCATGAGGAACGAAGCTTTAGCTTCCGCTGTTCAGGTCATCAGGCAGTGGCGATTTCAGTAGACAAGTTTGGGCACAACATCCAGCATTACCCATCCTTGGCTAATTGAAGGGTCAAATGCAATGTTTTTCTCAGGAGCTAGCTGCGGACGTCGATGAGGCGCTTCAACATGCTGTCCTTTCACCCAGACATGGTGTGTTCTTTTGTTGTCGTTGTCCTTCAGAATCCAACTTTGCGTGCACCGAGCGCCCTGCGCCAGGTAAAGGACAGGCAAAAAAGGGAGCTATCTGCGGTGAATGAGTCCGTTGCCGGCATTGTGGATGCCATGAAGGAGGCCTTTGTTTCTCCCCGGCTACAACGAGCAGGGGTCAACACTATCACATTATGCTTGCATACTTCGGCGCAAGAGTCGTTCATCTTGCGCAGGGCAGCATTCGTAGCTGTGGTGTCTGAAGTACTTAGCAGGTAAGTGAGGAGATGTCCACTCTCAACCGGTCGCAGACGCCTTGCAGCATTGGTCATGCAAGAGCTTTTTGCTCACATGTTCTGAAGGGGGAGAAACAGGCGAGAGCAATCAAACCTTGTAGGGAATGTTCCATATTTGGACACCTGCTCCCTCGATTTCCATACTCCTTTCCGACTTGAAGACAGGTGGATGCACCCGGGTATGGGGGGCTCGGTCTGTGTGCCTACCCCACATGATCCACAGCGTCCCTCCAGCAAGCCAGCTGCTGGATTCCCTAAGCTTTAAGCATTCAACTCTGAGGGACCTTGGCACAGTGTCCAACCAGACCCTTGAGCTAAAGGATTTCCTGACGAAGGCGCCGTTTCGCAGATTCGCATGGAAACATCTACTCAATTCCGACATGTGCACACTTACTTCAGCTTTCATTTCACTTTCCATTGGCTTGTCCGTTCGATTGTCCTTTCTTTCCCTAGATATCCCTACAGATCCCTACATCTCCCCTTTATGAACCCTAACTTGGATTGAAGGTGAAAGCGCAACTCGATCAACAGGGCGAACATCTGGACAATCTCACAGCGTCTCGGACTCCTTCAGCTGGTAGGTAAGGTTGAGGGACGCGCTAATATATCTACATAATGTATTTGAAAACTTATTCAATTTTTTCTACCTCTTTATAGTCATAGCCCAACTTAGCCCTGAGCATCCCTATGTAACCCTACTCATAAAATATTTAAGGGGCTGCGTCCAGGGGCGGGCAACGCAGGCAGCATGTTTTCTTGGGTTCCCTCCCAAAACACACAAAATGACCACATCTGGCTCAAACCCAGGTTCTCGGCCCAGAACTGGGTTTGGGCCAGATGAGGTCATTTTTGGTTGTTTT